TGATAATGATCATTCCAATTCATATTCATTTGAAGGCCTTTAAACACCAACAACAGATCTTAAGTAGTCTGTTCTGTGTATTGTGAAGGTGATCTTTCATACTGATCATTCCAATTCATATTCATTTGAAGACCTTTAATCACACCAACAACAGATCTTAAGAAGTCTGTTCTGTGTATTGTGAAGGTGATCTTTCATACTGATCATTCCAATTCATATTCATTTGAAGACCTTTAATCACACCAACAACAGATCTTAAGAAGTCTGTTCTGTGTATTGTGAATGTGATCTTTCATACTGATCATTCCAATTCATATTCATACAAGTGGGGCAGTGCAAATATTTGCTTTAAATTTAGTTTTACAGGAGCTACATTGTGTGCGTCACACGTCCTTAGATGTTGACTACCACAAGGACCTGGTAATGTTCACATTACACTTGTGTCTAGTACATTTGCAAAGCATAGTGAACAAATTGATTTCAAAAACAATTTCGCTGTATAATCAACTAAGAGAGATAAACCACTTTAAAATTTACCAGAATAATATATTACATTCCAGGAACAAAGGATCTCTATACAGAATGTTAGTTTTCAAGCGTTTTAAATAATGACTCGTCTATTTTACGAAGTAATATAAATAAATAAAGAATTCAGAGCCTAAATGTTTATAAAAGTAATTTGTGTGTGTGTGGTTAAATTACTGAGGTTTAGGATACCACCCATATTACAAGACCATCCATTGATGCTCTACCTGATTTAAAAAATACTGTTTTGACCCCGAATGGCTGTATTTACACTAATTAAAATATAATTGATCACCTCCTGTTGAAGAGTAAAACGGAGTACAAGTTACAGTATTACATTCTTTACATACACTATGTGTGATTTCAGTCATATTGATTGTCTTCTGTGCCACGAGTGTGGTATCTTCATTGTGGAATCACAGGCGATTTGCAGCTTATCTTAATTTCAACGTTTGATTGTATAACACCTTCCCAGGACATTGGATTGGCAGATGTGGCAGGAATGGGCTTGAGTCCCATGGATTTCTTTTTCTCGGAACTGCTCAAGACACGTGTGTGATAAGAAAAGATCAGGGACGCCGAACATCAGAAACAACGAATTTGCGACAAGCGTCGAACCATTGACAGAGAGACGAATACGCTTCACAGTTCAAAGAGAATGAAAATACCGTCTCCAAATTTGTTTCGGATTAATAGGGCAGTATGTGGAACACATTCGGTAAATTTTGTAGAAGTGCCTATGGTTCCAGACTTTTCGGACACCCTGTATAGTTACGCTTTTTTTTTATATTAATAACGTTAAATAATCATATCAATGAATCTACAGGAAATCGTCTACATTGATTTATAATTATTTAGTATATTCAAAATATAGTTTGCATGATCTTACTTTTCTCGGGGTTTTTCTGTCGATGTAATCATATAGACTGATCCCTTTATAGTTCAGTCCAATCCACCAAGGAAGTCCTTCCTTGTCCTGTACAAGTGGAAAAAGAAAATCATAAAATTATTTCCTTGTCCTATACACTTGCAGAGAGAAAGCCACAAGCATATACATAGTATTTGTAGTCCAAAATCCATTCTTCTTTCTTCACGTCCTTAGAATAGACCTAAGGAAGTTTACTTCCATTGATCGTTCGTTCAAAGTGCGTTAGATATTAGTACATCTTTATAAAGTATACGACGTGAGATTTCCTGGGCTACAATAATACACTCAGTACAATATCTTACTGGGCTACAATAATACACTCAGTACAATATCTTACTGGGCTACAATAATACACTCAGTACAATATCTTACTGGGCTACAATAATACACTCAGTACAATATCTTACTGGGCTACAATAATACACTCAATACAATATCTTAATTTCAGATGTTGATGTACACGAGAAATATTTCACTCGAAAAAGTTCTATATTCTACACGTATAGAATAACATGTTTTGTGTTCTAGTAGAGAAATGTTCCAGAACTCAAGTAAGGTTTTCAGATTATTAAACAATAAATTCAAAAGGCATTACACCTGAGAGAGTAAACAACTAAAGCAGGCAAGAGAAGCTCGAGAGGAAAAGTTGTGCTAATCTACTGAAAAATATCAAACTCGTTTCGACTTCATAAATCTCTCACTAATGAATTCACAGTTTACAACAAGCTTTACCCACCTTTACTTCGTAATAATGAACTCCATACGCTGAAATACGCTCTACAATTTTCATGTACCTATAAAAAAGATAAACCTATAGCGCTAGATATTTACAGAGGAGCAAGTATCTATATTATCAGTAATCGAACGTTTTTTTTAAAAAAATTGATCAATCTTGAATGAAAAATTCTGCTATTTTTACATAGAAGTTTTATACAATAACAGATATGTGCATAGCTAAAATCTCGTTTTGTTTACTAAAAATTCAACAGAATCAAGGGTAACTTAATCATAACTAAAATAACCGATACTTGTTAGTTAAAGTTTAAAAAAAATGTAAACCTTGAAAATGTATCGATTAAACGCGAATTAATGTCACGAAAAGTATATATTCTTCATCGAAATGCCTTTCAGTGGCTAAGCGGTAAGTTTTCAGAGTTATAACGCTAAAAACCGGGGTTCGGTACACATGGTGGGCACAGAGCAGATAGCCAATTGTGTAGCTTTGTACTTTACTACAAACAAACAAATAAAATTCAACCAAAAAATTGTGAATTTTAATTGGGAATACTTAATTAATAACCGAATTATAGTATCTAGTAATAAGAAACCTAAACAAATAAAATAAATTAATCTTAGCCTTGATAACAGCGCCATAAAACAATGCTTTAAAGTAATATGAAAAAATGTTTATTTGGAATTAAGTACAAAGCTACACTCTGTCTACCACGGGTATCGAAACCCGGTTTCTAGCGTTGTACGTCCGTAGACATACCACTGTGCCACTAGGGGGGGGGGGCATATGAAAAAAATAAACGTAGTCTTGATAAAATTTCAATAATTCAATGCCTAAGTTGAAGTAATTCAAAATGATACAAACCAAAAAGATTTAATGCAGTGTTCATAATTACTGGTAACTTAAAAAATATATTCATAAGAACTATTAGATGTGTTAGGTAATAATCACATCATATATACAAATCAAAGAGATAAATTGTAACCTTAATAATAACCGATAACCAATGAATGATTGAAACATTAACTTATAAACAATGCATAATTTAAACACTACTAAAGTGCATATATCAAATAAATTAAAAGGATTCATGTTAAAAGTTCAGTGATACAGTAACAATAAAGATAAACGATAATCTGAAAACAATAGAGATAAACGAAATTAAGAAAACTGTATATGAACTAAAGTAACCCTGGAATGACAGAATGGGTCCCCATCGGTTTTTTTAATCTACTTTTTTAAAGAATTATCACCCAATTTATAAGGGGGGGGGTCCATAATACGAGTCACAAACAAATAATAAAATATAATCAATATTGCATTTACACCCACTAATTACTTCTTAGGTCTTCTAGGTGTCTCACATAGAAAAACGATATTATACAAATGCTATACAATTATGTAACTTACTTCTTTATATTGAATGTTATGGCATGCAAAACATAAAAATATGGTGTAATATGTGGGACCCACTAGTAAAAAGTATAAAAATAATTCAGTAATTTAAGATTTGATATGATTAGTAATAAAAAAAAACGTAGCCTTGTTTGTGATCAATAAAAATATACTTGGAAGTTGTGACAAAACATGCAAAAATTAGAGAAATTAACAACAGTCTTAAAACTGGATTGATAAGAAAAATAATCTTCTGAACATTCACTTACTTTATTATAGTAGCTCCTCGAGAACTCCCACACAGATTCCTATAATGTGTTATGACTCTTTCTTCACTAGACAGAAAATTGTAAACTTTTATCAGATTAACATCTCCAATAATCCTTTTTATTTTTTTTTATAGATGAATTTGTGACAGAGAATTTAAACTTTCTTAATGAGCTTATCACACGCCATGTGTTAAATAAAATAAACATTTCTCAACGTTAGCTATAGTCTTTCACAATTTCCAAAGAAATAAAGTTTGTAAAATAATATGACGCAAATTAACATTTGATTTGTTAAATTCTATACGTATTTCTTGAAACAATTTTTAGGTATAAATTTTCATGGTTTTGATAATATTGAGCTTCACTGTTTCCTGCCCAGCATGGCCAGGTGGTTAGGGAGCTCGACTCGCAATCTGCGGATCGCGGGTTCGAATCCCCATCAAACCAAACATGTTCGCTCTTTCAGCCGTGGTGGCGTTATAATGT